AAAAAAATAAAAATAAAAATAAAAAAAAATAAAAAAAAAAGAAACATGTTGAAAATTACTCAGTGAAAATTTTATGTGTGGTTCACACAAAGTGATCAATTACAGATTGCAATTTGTTACGATGCCACAACGAGGTCGCTCTAATATCGGTCGGCGTTCTTTTTGGAATCAACATACATTGGCAGCCCAAGGCACATGACCGAGTGCTATCAGGATGCGATCGTCACAATGTCACAGCCCGACTTTTCAAACAACATTTGCGATGTTTGACGGATTTTATCGTGAAGCAACGTATACTTGGTGCTGTTAGATTCAAGATGTTCTCTGTTGAGTGGCAAAAGAGAGTTTTGCTGCACGCACACATTCTTCTTTGGACAGTGGATGGTGCATCCACCACATCAAATTGATGAAATAATTTCTGCGGAAATTCCTGATGCAGAGAAAGATCCAATATTATACGAAGTGATGAAAACTAATATGGTTCATGGACCTTGCGGACACCGAAATCCCACTTCGGTTTTTTTATCTGACAATAAATGCACGAAACACTATCCATTCGGAAACACAAACTGGAAATTATGGATATCCATTCTAGACAATAGCAGAACATTCAGCATTCAATTTATAAGAGTGAATATCGAAGTTGACAACAAGGATTGTACCATATTCGATATTATTGTCTAATTCACATTAAAAACTCATATCAATATTGAGTATGATACGATCGATACGTGAACTGCAATAAATCGCTTTGCAGGATATTTATTTTTGCAACTCATAAACCTTTTCCGACTATTGTGCGTCTCTCTACATTTGGAGAATGGCTAAAGAATGTATTTCAACCCCGAGAATAGAGTACAACCGGTGAAAACACCGCCAACAATAAAATTAACATTTACGAGGTTTTACTCAACTTACGTCTGTGATCCATTTGCGAGAACATTGCTTTATTCGGAAATACCTTGATATTATACATGGAATGCAATGTGGAAGAAATAGTTTCGCAGAAAGTAAGGCCAACCAGTAGATGGACATCCAGTGTTACCAACTGGACGCATTTACACAATCCACACGAAAAGCGGTTCAACTTTATTTGAATCATTGCGTACTGTGAATGGTACGGTGAGTGTAAGTTTTGGAAAAGCAAGCCAGCAAATACAATTGCTGGAACATGATAATCACTGGAATCAAACAATGGACGATTCGATAGCTACTTCGAATGCAAATGAAGTTCGCGAACTTTTCGCGATGATTATTGCGACATATCAGCCTTCAAATCCGCGTCAGTTATAGGATACGAACAAAAATGGCATTGCTGAAGACATTTTACATCGTATTCACTAAGAATTGGAAATGGGTCAATTCCGGTTTATACTTCCGGTGGTTTGATATCAATTTTATCTGCCGTTTATCATCACGAATGTTCGTACATCGGCCAAATTATCGTAACGACGATAGCTGCCAAAAATACCGATGTTATTGACCTAAACTGGAAGATCCGAAGATAAATTCCGGGAGGTTTGCGCTCATACAAATCGATCGATCGTCTTGGTAATGAAGACGATGCCATGAATTATCCAGTGGGATTTCTAAATTCTTTGGAGAGGGTTGGTATGGCTCCACATTATTTGCGTCTCAAAGTTATATCTGCCATTGGAACACTACTGATTATGACGCACCTATCGAATACAAGGGGATAGAATGCTTGATTCTACGAATTCCTCTGAGTTGTAACGATTTGCCATTCTAGTTCTAACGTATTTCGTTTCTAGTGAA